AAGAAGATTCATTTAAAGTGGGACAGGGAAATAACCACCCAGACTTGGTGAAGTGGAAATAGGTTTGGAAGATGTGTGCGAAACCGCGGGAGTGGCAAGAGGCCCTTGGTCTTGGCCTCTCCCGGTCCCTCAGGGCACACGGCAGTGCCTGGGTGCGAGGGGACATGCCGGTATTTTTAATTTGGGCAAACAGAAATTGTTCGGTGGATTTAAATGTTGAGAAAGCAATATTTCCAGGAAGTCTGGTGTGGGAAGGGGCACCAGGTGATATTGTGGTATGTGTGGTGGGGGAAGGCGACTGTGAGCTGGAAGTCTTTTCATTTCTACTTTTCCCATCCCTTTCCTTCCCTCTCCTTAGAAAGCAATCTTGTTCTACCAAGCTCAGGTCTTCTCTGTTTACAAGGGTTGCCTCTACGCCATGGGACTCAGGCTTCACCTCACGGAGTGCTCATCTTATGTATTTTTCGAGTCTGTTCTTCCTGCCTGTCTCCTCAGCGATACAGGAAAACAGCAAGGAAACTACGGCAAAATACATTATCGGGAGATTTGGGGGTTCTCTGGCTTTCCCGGCCTATCACCAATCTATTATCTCCTAACCATGCAATCAGCAGTTACAAAGGCTCAGAGCATCTCTGAGAGAGGGTCCATGAACTCCCCAAGTGTTAGTGACAGCGCAGGGAGTTACCTTCCACGCGGCTCTGCCGGGGACGCCCGCCCTCACCTCCCACTGCCTTCGGGCTCGGCTGTGTGCATGAGCACGGCCCGAAGGGCGCGGGGCAATCGGGGCTGCCTAGGGCGGAAGGGAGGAAGGGCGGGGGTGGTTGCGGGAAGACCGCTCGGAGGGGTAGAGTTGTTACAGAGCTGTTTCCAGCGACGGGCAACGCGGGAGGCGCCGGGTGGCCGGAGGGGTTACCGGCAGCGGCGATCAGCGGGCTCCTGGCCCCGTCGCGAACAAGAGTCTCTGCTGCCGGGGGGACTCCATACCCACTGCTGTCCCGCCGGCAGGTGCCGGGCCGTGCCGCGCCGGGCCGTGCCGGGATCCCGGCGGGATCGGGACCGCCACCACCCTTTCCCCTCGCCGCCAAGCGACCGGAGGGCGCCATCTACGGGCCGCGCCGGGGAGCGCCGCCGACCCGCACCTGAGCGCGGCCCCTCCGCCCCCGCGCGGGGCGGCCCCGCCGCGGCCGTGCCCGGGGCCCGGGGCGGGAGCGCTGGGAAGGGACCCGGCGAGCGGGCGGAGGGTGCCGCGGGCCTGGCGCTGGTGGGCGAGCGGCGGCCGCGGGACAGAGCCGGGGTAGGTCGGCCGTGAGCGGGGTACCCCCGGCCCGGCGGCGGGGCTGCTCACGGGGAGCTGCGGCCGCTCTCAAGTTGGAGTGCGGGGGGAGTTCCCCAGGCGGGGCGGAGCGGTTCCTTTGCCTTCGCTAGCCGGGCGACAGCGACCACCACTCCTCAGCGAGAAGCGGAGAGTTCCCACTCCCGCGGAAAATTCTCCCTGTGCAGGGGTGGGCAAGGCCGCCTTGAGCAGTGGCCGGCGCGCCTGTCCGCAGCGCAACCCCGCAGCCTCGGGGACTCACTTCACAAGTAACCCCGGTGGCATAACAAAAAAATTTGTATTTTCCAAATCATCCTTTTTTTTTTCTTTTTTTTTTTTTTCTCTCTCCACATAAGGGAAAGAGAGAGGGGAGAGAGAAAGATAAAACATCAGCTGAAGTGCCAAAATGATTTATGAGACAGTGGAAAATATTTCATAAAGATCTCTCAGAGATTCTTTACTTAGAGCTGTTAGAAAAAAAAAAAAGGAGCTGTTTTGTGACAGATAAGCAGAAGGATGGGGAAGGATGAAGGAGGAAAAGAGAAGGAAGTACATTTCAGGTGATGGTAAACTCACAAGTCTGAAAATTGATCTCACAGCAATTTCTGCCGTGTCTTTTCGCCCCTTGTTATTACTCTAAGAAGGCATTTCTTACGTTTCTTACTTGCTCTGTGTTGCTCTGCTAGGTCAAACCCACGTCTATCTTAGCAGTGGATTTATTTGTGAAATAACTTTAAAATCCCCCACTGGTAAAAAAAAAAAAAAACAAAACAAAACAAAAAAAACCACCAAAAAACCCAAACCACAAACAAAAAAAAAACCCCAAACAAACAAACAAACAAAAAAAACCCCAATCACCAAAACAAAACTAAACAAAAAAGAGAGACAGGAGAAGCAGCACAGATGTGGAAAGTGTGAAGTTGGAGTTGAAATTGCTATTATTTCCCCAAATGTGCGTGAGAGGAAACTTTGCAATTACTGAAACGGGCCCAAACTCTTGCTTTAAAGAGGTGCAAGAAGCTCTCTTGCTCTTCCATTCTCTCTCTGACTCATTCTCTCTTTCTCTCGGTCTGTTTAGCTTCTATTTATGTTTCTTTCTTTTTCTTCTTTATACCTTTCTCTCTTGGTCTCCCTCCTCTCGCTATCTCTCTCCTTTTCCTTTTCCTTCCTCTCTCTCCCTCACCTTCTTTCTCCCTTTCTCTCCCCGTCCATCTCCCACACTAAGCCGCACACCAGGGAAGCCTTGATGTGTATCGAATCCTCCCCCCTCCCCCCGCCTCTGTCCCGCTTTACCCCGAGTAAAGTCTCCGGTAAAAAAGAGCAGGGCGTAAGAAGGGAGATGAAACTACCAAGGCGTGTGTGCGTGTGTTAAATAAGGGAGTTAAGGATCCTGAGCCGCAACTGACAACAAAGCGGGGCTCACGTCCGTTCCCGCGGGCCGGGCAGGGGCGCCGCCGCCCCGCACACGCACGGCCCGGGGCGCTCCGGAGCGCGCAGCCGGGGCTCCCCCGCGCCGGGTCCCGCAGGCAGCGCCCCCCCCCCGCGCCGAGTGCCGCCGGCCCGGCCCTCCTCTCTCTCTCCTCTCCTCTCCTCTCCCCTCTCCTCTCCTGGCCGCGCTCGGCTCGGCGCGCTGGCGAATCAGAGAGTGTCGGAATCTATTGCCTTTGTCTGACAAGTCATCCATCTCCGGGGAGGCGGGCGGGGGGCTGAGGGCGCTGCGGCTTTTAGAGAGACACACACCGGGAGCGGAGGCTCCAGTCTCCGGCCCCGGCTCCTCGCAAGCACTTCCCACCTCGGGCGAAAGTCCGCCGGCGCCGGATCCGCCGCCCGGCCGAGAGGAGGGGTCGCGCCCGCCCGCCGCTCGCCGCTTTCCCGGGGATTGCTACTCCGCTTTGAACTTAAATGAACTAGCCCCGGACCGCGGGAGGAGGAGGAGGAGGAGGGAGAGCCGCGTCCTCTGCGCCTTCTGCCGCCTGGCCGCCGGCCGCACCTTGCTCCGGCACCCCCTCCCCGCCGCCGGGGATGCTCTGAGCCCTCCCAGCCATGACACCCACCTGCCCCCCGGCGCCGCCAGTCCCTCGCTCCCACGGACTCTGCTGACTCCGCCAGCTCCGCCGCCCCGGCCCCCCAAGGCCGGTGTAGCCCTCCCGCCCCCCGGAAAGTACTTCGCTGCCCGCTTCGCCGGGCAGGGGGCCCAGCGCACCCCGCCGCTTCCCTCCTTTCCTTTCCCTCTGCGCTTTTTTGTTTTGTTTTGTTTTCGTTTGTTTTGGTTTTTGTTTTTGTTTTTTTTTTTCCTCCCCTAAGTCTTGAAGTTGAGTTTTAGAGGCGACACGGCGGCTTCAGCCGATTTCTTCCCCTTCCTTTGCCTCCCCATGGATATGCACTGCAAAGCAGACCCCTTCTCAGCAATGCACCGTGAGTACTGGAGCCCGGCTCCTTCCGCTGCTCTCTCTCTTTCTCATCCCTCCATTCTTCTTTCCCCAACCATCCTTCCTCACCTGATCCTCCTCCAGGTCCATCCTTTCACCCTGGCTGATACCGGGCTTAGAGAGGCGTTCAGAAGGCAGGACGGATACCGCCGGCCCGAGTAGCAGAGCGAGGATGCCGGGCAGCCCCGGAGCCGGAGGGAGCAGCCCTCCGTGCCGGCAGTGGGGCGGGGGCCAGGACCCCCAGTCCGGGGGCACGGGGTTGTGTGCGGCTGTGCCTGTGCTACGAGCCGTGTGTGTGCGCGAAAGAAAGCACCCCCCGAAACAGAGCTGTCCTCTGACACTTTCCCCATCGCCCCTCAAACAACACGAGTTTATTCTGACTCGTGTCAGCCCCCGGGACGGACCTTTTCCCTGTCCGTGCCCCGCCGGGCCGGGGCTCCCCGCAACCCTGCTTGGCTCTAACCCCCCAGATTTCCCCGCGCTCTGATGCTGTTTGCTTTGATTTCGGATTTCAGTGGCAGAGAGGGGAGATGCCAGCTTCAAATTAATGGCGGGTTGGTCGGTGACTGTTCCGTGCTTCATTTTGGTTTGGCAAAAGGTTGGACTGAGGGAAAAACAGGACAATTTTACGGCTAGGAGATGGAGTGGCTTTGAAGGCTCCCAAGAAGTCACGATCCCTCCTGGTTTGTTTACCAAATCCCCTGTGTGCATTTTAAATGCATTCCCGGCACAGAGTAAAGTGCATTCATGATATATTTTCAATTTAAAAAACCTTTCTGTAAGAGGGGGACGAAGGAAAGCCCCCTTTACCAGGGACCGTAACAGTAATTTCCAGTGACTTTAATTTCATCGCAGGAGGGAAAATGATTCCACGATTTAAATTAATGAAGAAAAAATACAAATAGAAAGCCGAGATCGAGAGCACGTTGAGTGAGGAAATGAATAATTAAGAGCAATTTGTAACTTTTGACACTGAAACTTTTGAGGACACGCCCTGCCTGCTGCATAAAATACAAATAGAAAAGATATAAAATAGAAATACTTAAAGTTTAAAAAAAAAAATCCAGATTTTGCCGAGAGAAGGAAGGTGAAGAAATACAAACCCATTATTAGATCCCCAAACGTGGATGTAGATAACTGTCTTTCTGTTTCCAAATAACTGATTTCCAAGATACATTGCTTAAAATGTGGAGCTAAATTTCCGAAGACCTTTAACGGCAAACAGTCTGTGCATTAGGCATTTTTTTTTTTAGTTTTCAGCGGTGCGACCTGCTTTCAGACGCGATTGCAGTAATTCCGCCTCCAGTACGATCCGGAACATATAGGCAGACAGAGGAGCAATTTCGCTGTCGCTGATTTTTCAGAAACTCCAGTGAGATTCATGAACAATTTTTGGCTTCCGATTAGGGAAAAAAAAAATCAACATTTGATTTGCTTCTTAGAGTGTATTTCTAGAGCTACAGACCTGGATATTAGTAAGCAATTAAAACAGATGCGGGCGCAGGCTCTTGACATACAGACAGACAGCAACACACTATCGGTACGGCAGCGGCACGGCTTGATATGAGCATATACAGACGCAGGCACCTATATGCAGATAAATAATTGTAAATATCTGACTGCTCTGACAGAAAGAACCTTAGAAAACCACGGGGCAGAGCAAAACAAACTCGTGTGAAAAATATCCAGACTGCAATAATTTGAATTATTAATTTTTAATCTTTTTGCATCAGTTGCCTTTTAATACTTTGTAATGCGAGTTATAATAGGTGCTTTGAATTATTTATCATGGAGTTGCCGAAGAAATTGCTGTCTTGTAACTTTAGAGGCAACATGTGCAGAAGGGGTTCTGAACAAATGAAGGAAGCACAGAGCAACATATACCCGCAGCTTTTAGTGGCGGAAGACAAATATCCCCCCCTCCTCTCTAAAACACCAAATACGTTTAAAAAACCCCCAACAAACCAAAACAACAACAACAACAAAAAGAAATTAAAAAAAGAACGCAACAAATAACCTCGGTTGACCGAGGAACGATGAGGAAGCCTGCCAGTGCCCCGGCCGATGCAGCTGGGAGGGGATGTGTGAAGGTGTTACTGAAGGGGTGGGGGAGATGGAAAAAACTCTATTTGTGCTAAAGGACTTGGATCGATCGCAGGGCAATGAGAGTTTCCACTAAGTTCAGAGCCAATAAGTCAGTGTCAGAAGCAAGGGAGAAAAAAACCTCAGCGAAAATACAAACAGATCATTTTTCAGCAAACTGCAAAACGAACTAAGATCTCTTGGCGAGGAAGATACAGGAGGTTAGGGTTGTGTGAAAGGAAAGCTTTAATACAGTGTGCACTCCACAGCTATATCAGCTGAATATTCCAGAGATAGAGACACTGAGGTAGCAGCGCCAGCGAAGCTGTTTCGCCTGCGAGTGGGCATTTCCCCACGCCCGGGCACAGACGAACTGCTCCCAGCTCTAACGCAGTCGTTTGATTCACAATCAACTGTCTTGCTGCGTCCTAAAAGGAGGTATTTCCCTCTATCCCTGTCAATCTGTTTCTCGTTCCCACGTTTAGCAGGTGCATACTTTTTTTTTTTTCCTCCAAGTTATTTCTCGGAATGGAGAAAGATAGGGGGAAAAAAAGCCATCCTGGCAGTCCTATCTGTGAGAGATCGGGGTTTTGCCTGTAAAGGAGGGAACAGAAGAAAACGGAACATTTTTAATTCTCCTTGAACTAGATTTGTGTGGTGGGAAAAAATACGGACCGGTGCGAGTCTGTCAGATTTTTTTCCTTTTTTATGGGAGAATTTTTTCTGTAAAGATCGAAAGCTGATGAGAGAGAGGGTCTGTATAGGAACACCGATCGCGGGACCAAAATATTTTCTTTCTTTCCCCCTTCCTCTCTCTCCGTTTCTTTCCCTTTCTCTTTTTCTCTCTGAATCCCTTCAACTCTCATCCGAAAATAACGGGAGAGAACGGCTTGCATGGGGGACATGCCGCGGGGTGAGGGAGGGCGGAGTTCGCGAGGAACTGTAATTGACAACGTGATAGAAAATCCTGGAAAGAAAATGAGAGAAAAAAGCCCGGGAGTAAAGAGAAGGGGGACTGCGGCAGAGTCCGATCGGAGCCGCTAAGAGGTCGAGCTCTGGAGTTTGGGAGTGCATCGCTGCCCAACTCTGGGAAGAGGAGCGGGCGCAGGCACTGTCTCCGTCTTCGGCCCACCACAATGGCCCTGAGAAGCCACCTCTCCGGCATTCCGGTCGGGATCGCAGAAGGGAGAGTGGCTCTCCGGCCCAGAGATGGGAGGCAGCGTACGGGAAGCTGGAGGACAGTCCCCCTCAGACTCGGGAAAATTCCCTCAGCCTTCTCATTCTTTTCCATCTTTCCTCCTTTCCCTTTTCCGTTATCTTTCTTCATTTCTTAGTTCTTTTTTCCTGTCTTCTCTCTTTCTTTCTTTCTTTTCTTTTTCTTTCTTTCTTTCTTTCTCTTTCTTTCTTTCTTTCTTTCTTTCTTTCTTTCTTTCTTTCTTTCTTTCTTTCTTTCTTTCTTTCTTTCTTTCTTTCTTTCTTTCTTTCTTTCTTTCTTTCTTTCTTTCTTTCTCTTTTCTCTCATTCTCCCTGTTTTTTTCCTCTTTCTTTCTCCCTTTTTATCATCTCTCTCTCCCCAACGTCCTGTTCCCCATTCTCGACCCCCCGCCATCACCTCCATCCATCTAAAATGACTGGACATTTTGCAGTACGAGTGTTGAAGAATCCACGACTAACGGTGTGTTTCTGGTGTGCGTGGGTTGTTGTGTTTTTTTTTTATTTCTCTTTCCCCAGCAGGGCACGGGGGTGTGAACCAGCTCGGGGGGGTGTTTGTGAACGGCAGGCCCCTACCTGACGTGGTGAGACAAAGGATAGTGGAGCTGGCTCACCAGGGGGTGCGACCCTGTGACATTTCCAGGCAGCTGCGGGTCAGCCACGGTTGTGTCAGCAAGATCCTGGGCAGGTAAGGAAAGAGGCAGCTTCTTCCCCTCCCCTGGGACTGCAACGTTGCATCCCTTCCCCGCTTCGGTGTGACCTTCCGCCCTTCCCGCGGCACCGGGCTTTCCCCTCCACGACCCCGAGCGGCCCCGGCACCTTCACACAGTGGGAGCCCGCGGTTGAGCAGGGCCCCCTCCTCCAGCTGGCAAAGACATGTTTCTCCCCTCCTCCCCCTTTCCCCCCACCGGCGGTGTTTGAAAACTCCTGGGAAGACAAAATAATTTGCGAGGGGTGGGCAGGAGGGCGGGAAAGAGAAGGAATGGGAAAAGGAAAACGAAAGAAAGAAAAAAAAAAAAAACCCTCCAACAGCCCCGAACAACAACAGAAAAAATCCTAACTCACAACAATCCGTGAGCAGCCTTACCAAATACATGGATAAATAAACAAACAACGGGGCAAATAAATAAATAAATAAATGCCCGCGGTAACCGATCGCCGCCAAATGTGGTGTGAAATATCCCCAGGGGCTAGTCGGGGAGACCCGGTGCTCCGGCGCGGCCGCTCGGATGTGGAGCGGTGTCAGCAGGCGGCAGAGCCCCAGCCGCGGGTGCGTGCGGTGTGTGCTCTGCCGTGCCCCGGCAAGGCCGGGACACAGACGCTGCCGCCAGCAGAGCTGATGGCCGGTGGGGAGCGGGGCTGGAGCTGCCCCGTACAAGCACCTGCCTTCGAGGAACTCCGATGCGGGGATAAATCGCGCTCCCGCATGGGAGACTCGGGTCGGGAGGGGCCGGCCGGGACAGTCCGAGCGGGAGGTGCGAGCTCGGCACTGCCCGCTCTCCGCGCCCCCTCCCCGCCCGCCCGGCCCGGCCTCGCGGTCGGCGAGTTCGCCTCCGGACGGCCGCACCGAGGAGAAGGTTTCTGCTTTATTTCCCGATCCCTGGGCCTGAAAGAAGTGTGTGCGTATAAAGCAGGAGAAGAGGGAGGCAGCGCCCCTCGCTTCTCTCTCTCTCTCACACACACACACACAAAAAAAAGGACCCAAAAAAAAAAAAAAAAAAAAAAAAAAAAAAAAAAAAAAAAAAAAAAAAAAGGGAAAAAAAAAGAAAAAAAAAAAAAAAAAAAGGGAAAGCGGGAGTGAGCCCCGGAGAGACGAAGGGACTGCGTCAGCCCCAGCTCCAGGCGGCCTGGTGCCTTCCCGAGCCGCAACATGCAGTGCCCGAGCGGCCGTGGCCCAACGCCGCGCACCCGCGGGCCGAAGCCGAGGGGGAGCAGGGGGCAGGGGTCCGTGGGGCGCTCCGAGGGGCAGCAGGGCATCGAGTGTTCGGGGACGACGGGGCCCTTCCCGGCACGACAGGTCGCTGACCCTCCTTTGTGCAGGTATTACGAGACGGGGAGCATCAAGCCCGGCGTGATCGGCGGCTCCAAACCTAAAGTGGCCACCCCCAAAGTAGTGGATAAAATCGCCGAGTACAAGAGACAAAACCCGACAATGTTCGCCTGGGAGATACGGGACAGGCTACTGGCCGAGGGCATCTGCGACAACGACACGGTCCCCAGCGTCTCTTCCATAAACAGGTAAGAGCAATCCCGCAGCTCGCGGCCCAGTCGCCCCATAAACCCCTTTCTAACAGCGCGGACGGCCCAATCCTTCCTCGGTCAGGGTAGATCCAACCTACTCCAGTCCCTCGCCCGCAGCGGGACCCCCGGGCATGGTCCAATGGGTGCTCCCCAGCCCCGCCGTGACCCCCGAGCCCAGTCCGAGGCAGCAGAGCCGACAGCGGCTGCCCGCGGCTCTGTGCCAGAGCTCGCTGCTGCCCACCGCAGGGCTGCAGCTTGTGCCCGCCGCCCGGCGCGGGGGGCAGGCGGGGGCCGGGGCAGCCGGCGCTGCTGCGGGAGCAGCTGAGCTCCCGCCGGGCAGCCTGGCGGTGCCGCAAGGTTTGGGGGCTGTTCGGGCTGGTGGCGAGACGGGCGGTGAACCCGGGATTTCCCCAATCGCTCCAACGCCTCTCTCGGGGTGTAGGTGACCGCCGGCCTTTGCAGGTTATTAGAGCTCTGAGTCGAAAAGCTGCCGTTTTCTACTGCTAAGCCGGGCTCACAGCCGCGAGCCGCTGAGCGCGGGAGGAAGGATTCCCTTGCACCCACTCCTCCCGTTCACTCCCTATCGCTAGCTCGAGGGAACGGCTAAAGTTGCCGGGCGGTCCTTTCCCCGGCTGGGGAGCGCTACTCCCCGCGGCCCCGTCTCGATCTGATCCCTGCTCTCGCAGGAGGTTGGGCAGCAGGATCGATTCCGCACTAGCGAACGATTTCCCATCCCACCTCCTCCCCCGGCTGCTAGGGTGCGAATTTTGTTGGTGGAGGGACTCAGATTTGGCCTCAGGTTTGAGGTGACAAAAATAACCATGTGACAGGCAAAAAACCCGGATCGATGCAGGAGAAAAGGGACGGTAATAGATGTAATCGAGTACTAAGACATGTCAAAGCGCTCAGACTGTTCACATGCCTGCACGTTCAAACACAACATACAGCAGATCTTCACACTTAGGAAATACACAGCACTCTCATGTACACAGTAAAAGGAATGATGCTGTTTTAGTGTAATGTATGTATAGATACCATGACTATGCCCACAGAAATATAACCTCCAGAAACAGAGTAATACAGGAATATTTGTAAAGGGTACATATATAGGCACAAAATACCTCACTGACAGAGTAAAAATACATGAAATTTTGGATTCACTCCCAAATGTACAGCTCTTCTCAAATAAATGTATATAGGGTATATGTAAATATGCATACAGGCTTTTGTAGTGTCTACATAGATAAAAATACACAAGTCAATATATTGGCCCTTTTAATACTTAACAAATATAGCCCTTTTTTTTTTTTTTAAGAAAGGTGTATTTATAGCAAGGGAAGCAAAAAATAAATAGCAAGGAAAACACAGTGGTATTTTTTGCCTTGCACTTTTCATGGCAGATTTATCAAAATATGTCTAATAACTCAGACTGTGTATTTCTAAATCTGGCATCCTATATAAATGGGTTTTAATATTTTGCAAATGATATGGAATTATCCCAAATCATCTTGAAAACAGCAGGTAGAATTAGCTAGTGGAATGTACCTTGGCTAAGAAAGATTCCCTCAGACACACTGTCTCTGTAATATACTGCTAGGCTACCCTAGGAAATTATCCCTGTGTGTGCCATCTGTATTAAAATGGTTATTAAGTTATGAACAGGGTAACATAATACTGATCGGCTAATTATACACCCTCCTAAAAAACCTCCAGGTCTCTGTTACTCTCTCAGTCAGGTATTGAAATAATAACAGTTTGACATTCAGACACCTTACAAAGGCAGCTGTGGAAGGACAGCCAGCTATCCCTGTAAGGAATGGAGCTGATGGTATGGAAGTCCAGAGGAATGGCTGTAGGTTCCTCGGAGGAATGGCATGTATGGACCCATTACACATGTACAGCTAGCTCAACGGGTGTCAGCATCCCAAACTCACTGAAGTCTCAACCTTATGCTTGCCGGACCCAATGCCCCCTGTCTGGGTTGTGATGTCCCCGGCAGAAGGCTGAGTGCCAGATTTTGTTCCCACCTTTGCTACCAGTTTGTTGCGGGGCTTTGGGAGTTTTGTACCTCAGTTTCCCCACCCTGGAAATGAAAACTGATCTTTCTCAGAAGGAGATGGAAGCAGATGTCAGTTAGATTGCACTCGTAAAACACTTGGAGGACAAGTGTTTTGTAGCAGCTAAGTATTATTATACTTAAGAAGCTCAGCTGTGACCCACCACTGTGATGGTATTTGAGTGTGTAGTCCCCAAGGCTCAAGTGCATTTTGGCTTCATATGATTTAGTCTTTCCCCATCCCTTTTGAAAATTCAGATCCAACTTTCCACTGCTCACTTTTGTATGAGGCTTCCAAAAACTCACATCTGTGAGGAAGTGAGCCCATCATATCACAGGTTGTAAAATTTGCAAGTTTAACCTAGACAAGAACAGGACAGCAAACTGGAAGAAAATTGCAGTGGAATAGAAAATATCAAGTACATAAGGTCTTGATCCTATTGTTGTGGAGAGTAGCACAAACTTTATCACTCCAGGGACTTTTGTGACTCCAGCTCACAGAACTCACAAACACAAAGAAGGGAATAAGTTCACAATTTAAATACATATTTTTTTCTTTCCCACTGTAAAAATGCATATACAGAATTGGGTCAGTTCTTTGTAAAAGCACATCCCTTACCTGTGGTACAATCACAAACTGGAGTTAATCTAACACTCTGAGTCTCTGAGCAGCTTCAGATAGATGACAACTTTAAAAACCAGCTTTCAAATAACTGTCTTCTTATTTCCACAAAATGTGGAGTTCCCAAAGAAAATTTTGCATTGGTCCAGTGCCCAGAACTGTTAGAACTACATCCCTGAGTCTTTTAACATCTTAAGACAATTAGCAAGACATTTATAGAAACAGAAATAGAAGTTCCCTATGTCCCTAGATAGACTGTGAATACTGTGCTTTAAAATGGAAATGTCCTTGTACACGGGAAAAAAAATACTTTTGATTATTATAAGATTTTCTGAAAATGCATTAATTATGTGTTATTTTCTTTCTGAGAATTACTCTATCATTAGCAAAAGCTTCTGGGTGAGAGACTACAAAACAACACAGTTTCAATTTCAAAGTCTCTCTGAAACATTTTTAAAATCTATTTTTCATTATTTTTTTTTTTGGTGATACATTAATTCTGTTTGCCTATATTGCACTGATCTGTCAGTATTGCACTGAGAATACCAGGACGCATTCTGGACAATGTAATTCAGTACTGAGACTTATCAGAAACTTGTTCATACAAAACTCATGCAGATAAAGGGTAGATATGAGCTCTAGTGAAAAACATGACTTAACTACCCTGCTAAGATTCAGGAAAAAATATTAAAGTCTTCTGCTATGCAGTAGGTTTCTTTTAATTACGGCAAAAAAGCCTAGAGAGTATACTAGTTATTAAGCAAAGAGCACCAGAAATTACAGGATCAAGATAGAGCAGTAACTCTGAGCCAAGAGCTTTCCTGTTTCCACTTCCTACACTTAGGTACTATACAATATAAACCAACTGTGTACGTGGTAGGTGTACACAGATACATATACACAAATATATATGTGCGTATATGTAAGAACGCTCACACATACAAACACTGCATGGAATTGAGAAGCAGGCAAATGACAGAAGATCTTAATTCTTTGGTAAGCAATTAATGCTTACATTAAATCACTTGAGCACCTTGCTTCTTGAGCACCCCGTCAGCCCAAACTTTTCCATCTATAATATGACTATAAACCAGTCATTTTTGGTCACTTCAGATTTCAACTGAATTCAGGCACTGCTGTAAATTTTGAGGCAGTCTTCTAAGAACAAACTTGGAGGCAGATGTGAGAATTTTTCTTTTGTTTAACAGCACATATAGTTTGCCTAAGAATACAGGTCCCATGAGATAATCATCACCCTTTTGAATTAGGTAGCGTATTTTAGTAGGAACAGGACGGAGCACATCATGGGCATACGTTCACAGTTGTACAGCAAGTGATGCAATCGAAATCATAGTTTAAGCACTATTTTCTGCTTCTCTTAAATTAAAGAATTCTCTTGGATTAAAGAATGAGGTCCAGAAAGGCAAAGCAAATCAATCTCCCCCCAGTTTGTTGCTCTCTCCCAGCTCTTCTGCAGCCAGGTTCAGTACTAGGCATTCTCAGCTAGTCCTTATCCAAAGAATGCCAAAGCTAAAGCATTGCAGAGTTCAATCAGCCTTCCAGATATACTTTGGACTCTGAGTTCCTCAGAGTAGATCTAACTAACGTCCCATGGCAGAGAATAGAATTTAGTGGATATACTATCTCGGTCAAACTGGTAGAGGTTTTTCTGATCTTCTTTTAGGTATAGCGTATCCATTCATTTCTAGTGTTAAGCACTTGATTTAGGAAGATGTTTCCAATTTCAGGATATAGCAATTGGCTAATGATGCCTAGTTAAAGTCTCCAATAATTATATGCTTTTAAAAATACATATGGAAAGACACATACATTGACTTGGGTTATAAAGACCAGTGAAATATACTTGTACACTGAAATATTATTGAGCATGTGGCCAATTTCAGTGGCTATAGGCAGGCCTGTAGTTTAGAGCAAAGAACAACATATTGGGAGATGAGATTTTTCTTACCAGTTCTGCCATTAATTTTCTGATTGATTTTGGGCAGGTCACACAGACTCCTTATGAGGCTGCTTTCCCATCTGTAAAATGAAAATAACAGCTTTTAGCTACCTCTATAAAACTCAGCGTGATCTTTCACTAAAAATGTCCATCGAGTTCAACACGTAACCAGAAAAAGTTCAAAACTGGAGCTAGGTTGTTTTACATCAGCTGAGGCTTTAGCTCATGCAAAGGAGATAGAATTGAACAGAATCATGGTTGAGGTAAATGTAATGTCTCAAGACAAACAATCGGGTCTGGAAAAAGGCAGGCACAATAGGGCAGGGTCTGTGTTATATGCGGAAGAAATCAGTGCTACG